GTTGCGATGAACTCGTTCATACGTCCGCTTCATGAGTGAACGGCCAAAAAAGGGGTCCCGTTTTGCGTTTTCTTGACGGATTTCTCCGCTTTTTTCGCTACTGGCGTACCACTGAGCACCACCAGTCTCCTATAAACCCTTCTTGAATCTATCGTAATCACTGCCTTTGAGCTCCTGGGGCACTTGCCATATGCTCGCGTGGAATAACTCTTTAGATGACTCATTTTTGACTAAGTTTTCTTGGCCACTCACCATTGATCAGGAAGCAATTATTGGAAGGATCACAGGTCTGTTTCCGAGAGCGTGCCACGGATCAAGGGACCCTTGCGTCATTACTACATTTGTGCCCTGAAAAGAATTTTCGTTCAGATAATATAATATTGTAAGATAATATTCTTATCAATTAGATCACCTTGTAATTATATCTGCCACCGTATTGATGATTCGTTTTAAGCACAGCTTGTTGGTTAATAGCTGCTGAGTACATGATGTTCTTGCCGAACAGATCTGAGCACAGCTGCAGGAAGAAACTGGAAATTCCGCATTTTTCGCGAAAGGGGAAATCTTTGACCAGAGAATGACCGCGCCCAACTTTCTTTTCAAAGAAAGTAAAGCAAAGGATAAAGCATTTGCCGTTGATCAATCCCTTTTTGGGATGCGGCACGCATTCTACTTCCATTTGTACATTCGTAGTGGCGTTTGAATGCGATGTGGCCTATACAATGACTTGCGGGGGCCAGCCGATGTACAAGTCAGTGTTTTTATCCTCCCAGACAAGTCTGGTACCAATTAACCGACCCCGGAGGGATTGGTTTGGCCCGGGCGACTCACGACCCAGGATTTGATCCCCGGACCGCTCGCGTGGTAAGCGCGCCACTTGTCACTACACCACTTCCGCCCTTCAAAAAAGTTCCCGGTGTCCCAAAAGTAAAAAGGTTCACACTGCGGTAAGATTTTCCAGCAAGTAGGCTTTCAGCTTCCATGATAACATTGGTTAACATGTCAGCCAGCAGTATCAACACTGCGTTTCAAGGCCTACGCCAGGTTTAGAATGTCAGGGCCGATTCCCAGTATGACGGAACCCGATTTGATCATGTGTTTCGGTCCTTTATTCATAATAATTTTTCTAATACTCACTTTAACGGTAACGGATTTCCGAAAATACTGAATCCGTAGTCAGTTGTTTGGTAGAAACCGAATTCGGTACATGTTTGCCATGTCCAGAGATAAGAAGCGGATAGATCTAAATTTCGGCTAGATTTGCTAGATAATTATGCAGAAGGGTGAGATTTGTATCAACCGACGATAACGAATTGCTAGGGAAAACTGCTAATTTGATCTCATCTAGCTTCTTCGGGGTGTTCAAAAACAGGTCAATTATCTAGTTAACCAAATCCGTGCGAGCGAAATACTCGATTGGATTAAACGGTATATCCTACGGAATCTGCGAGTGTAGCGGTGCGTGCCTAGCCGCTGTTGGGAGTCTGCCAAGCACATAAGATACGGTAGCAAGAGATACATTGCTGAACAAACTCATCTCAATTTGTTGCATAACAAATACTTGCAGTTCTGCTGTTATGGGTCATTTTCAATTTTTTCCATCGTATGAAACTTTTCAGAAGCGCGACGGACAACGTAGAGAAGAGTCTATTCCTTCTACTGAGTTTATTGAATATGAGGTAAAACTACCTCTTGGAAAATTCAAGAAGCAGAGGTAATCGTAGCGGCTGGGATCGGCGTTCTCTTTCTATGCTTCACTGGATGAGTACCGCCGGCTCGTTTGAGTCTGTCAGTATTCCGAGGTACGCTTATTCGTTTTGTCTTGGAGAAGGAAAAATGACTTATAATCTTGGAGATTTTTTGCTCGCTTCAACCGTAAATGATGCCTAATAAAAACAGAATATGTGCAGTCAGGTAATGTTAAAACAAAAGAGTACAGATAAAAATAGTTGTGCAAGATCTGCAATACGCCCTTGGTACGCAGAGATATGGACTGTTTAAATGTCGCTATTATCAGAACTCTGGGCCATGGTTGTGGCGGATTGAAGGGTCTAACCAATAGTTTCATTTCGAGTCTCGTTTTTCTATTCTTCTGTGAATTAGTCAGCGTCTATCGGTAATACAAGTGCAGTAAGTCGTGAAATTCCTTATCGGAAAGATTGACCTACCTGTAAATTGTGACCGATATAATGCTTTTACGTAAGCCTTGTAGCTGTTGAATGTATAGTTAAAGTCACCACCCTGAAAAAGACTCATCTCCAGGTTTTGTCATTTCATTTGAAATGATAAAAACTAATGGAGCGTTCAGAGTTAGCGAGCGTAGGTGCGATTAGTCTATAATGAAAAATATACGTATAGATTAGGCGAGTAGGCGAGTAGGCGATCAGGCGAGTAGGCGATTAGGCGGGGAAGACTACATACGTATTGATTGGTTTGCTCCGCCCATAGAGCGTTGTAGGCGAGTAGGCGAGTAGGCGATTAGGCGATCGCTCAATGGGCGGAGCAACAATCAATACGTCCTCTACCCGCCTAATCGCCTAATCGCCTAATCGTACGCTAACCATGAACGCTCCATAAGCGATTTCGCATTTTATGTTGACCTATCTCCTTTGGAAGACGAATTTCCAAAATTTAGGAAAAACGGAAACCATAATTTCCGATTCTAACTAGGTAGTATTTGTTGAGCGACAGTGTCACTATCAATCGATGGCGTAAGAAGTCAATCCTCTTCTGAAAGTCACCGGGCTGGATTAGATGCCGGTCTCTCCTAAAGTGAGAAAGAGGGGTCTATGTCACCTTCACTGACGTTCCTCATTATGGATACTCCTTATTCAATTTACCTGGCATGGACTGAGAGGGTTGTTTCAATTACACTGTCGGCTTCATTTATATAATCTTCCCTCTAGAATGATGTGAAGATGTCTACGTTAGCACATGCTTTAGTCAAGTTTGGTGCTTCGTCCATTCACGCAACATGGTTACTGTAAGTTGAATGCTTCGAACCGTATGTTGACTTTCGAGCTACATCTACAGTATATCTGTGGTACATTCTTTGTTTTTTTCTTATGATCTTACACCTACAATTTCATACACAAACCAGACTAACTACACTCTTCAGTTGAAGTCTCGCTCTTACTAGACCAATGACCCACTATCTTCAAATCGGTCATATTCCTCGTTAGAAAACAATCTATGCGGAGAGTAGATGTTCTATAGAAATCAGAGGATTGGAGGAGAACCCAATGTCGTTCCGTGTGTCAGTTTTTAGGCCTGTCGGGGTTGAACTTCTACTCGATTTGCCTAATGTTCGACCGACTTCGACCAAATCGTCGTAATTGCTGTACCACGCGATACTCGGATTGAACGGAGTCGATACGGTGGATTAATTTAACGAAGTTCCACCTAGCAACCTTGCTATTCAAAAAAAATACGCCCGTCTAGGGCGAAAGTTTTGTTCATAACCCAGCATTATGTGGAACATTCGCAAGGCGAACTGCGGCCAAAAACAGCAGTTAACAAACA